CAGACTTGACAGCACAGTTATACCATGCATTCTTATCATTATCGCGATCGTTAGTAGTAAATTGTTGCCCTCTTTGCTCGTTCATAGAATCGCCCGCATCGCCCGAAAATCCTTCCAATACATTCAAAGCATAGTTTTCGCTCTCATCGCCTATAGCGAACTCTGCATATTTCGCATAACGTTCATCNGGCTGATCATTTGTGAGCGCATACAATTTTTCCAATCCAATGAAAAACTCATTTTCCTTGTCACCAAATCCTGCAACATAATCATCCCAGTTGCGATAAAAATCCTCAGTGCCATCTGTGCGGCGTTGCACCACAGTCCAAGCAGGACCGCCATTCGGATCGGCTAGACAGTAAACCTCGAAGGGTGGCAGATCAAAATCGGGTAAGTACAGTGTGAAGATACCGCTTTCCGGGTTATCGTATTTTTCAAAAGCTTCAGCGCAGCTGGCTGGTAAACCGGCATTTGGGTCTTCGGTAGCAGGCTTACCGATTTTCTGGCGTAGCCGCGTAAGTTTGGTATTAAGTATTTTAAGTAATGCAGTTTTTTGTTGACCGAAGCTGAGATGTAAATGTGTGCACATATACAAATAAATGAAAAGGAAATGAATTTGAAAATCCCTATAAAATATGAATTCGAAAAAGCAACTCACTCATCTTCTATCTCTGATCTCAATGACCTTCCATCCTGCTTGATCTCTGAAATGTCAATATTTTGTTCCCGTAATTTATACTCAACTGCTTCCAAGTCGTTGCGCATGTCGGCATCTTGTGCCTGCACTTGGTCACCCAGGCTGCGCATAGCTGCTACTAAATTATTTTGTTCATCAAGAAGTTCCTTAAGGGTCGCCGGTGGCCTGTGTGGAAATAAGCAAAACTGAACAAATGATCTTGAGGTACATAATATTGAAAAATGCACTTACTTAATTTCGTAGACTTCCAACTTATAAATTTTGTCGTTGCTCATCGAGACGTCTGTGCTCAACTTTTGTCCATAGCAATTTTCGTAATTGACACCACATAAAAATTTCTATAGGATTTACTTGCTGTCAGCCTTTTCTTGCATTAAAATATTTTTACACTCAACGGTACTTACGTTCATTGCGCCTTCGTTGCTTACTTCTATGACATTTCCCCATCCTTGCATGCCAGTCGTAAAAGCACTGGACAATCCAGAGAGATGCAGGAGCGCAGCGGTTAAGAACACAAAGCGTAGCCACATGATGTGATTTGTAGTTGACGATTTCTGAATGAAAGCATTTCAAAAACGTTCTATTTAAATAGTCGTGGGGACAGTATTGCATTTTTGTAATCATATGTATATTGACTTTACCATATGCAAACATCTATCTTAGTTTTGCCGCGAATTCCCAAGAAAAACTATTATCAGCTGTGCTTCCAGTGCAAACTCAGAGAAAGTACCTTCAACGGCGTGTAATTCACTTGAACCTTTTAAGTTCATGGACCGGAGGGGTCTTGTGTTTTAAATTATTGATAAAAGCGTATATATGCACGAATGCAAATGCTTTCGTATTAAGACTTTTGTATCATCACGTTTGCGGCACACAAAAATAACTAACAACCAAAATGTAAAGAATAAAAAGTTGAATTTGTTTTTTCTTGCGAACCCGCTTGCGAATTTACTTATAGCGAAATAACAATACTGATAAAAACAAGGCAAATACGCCACTGCCAGCTAAGACTTTCTTAGGAAGCTCGATCACTAAACTACGCAAATCTATAGAAAACAAGTACAGTAAAACCCGCTTAAGTACCTCACGAAAAGTGTCTGCTTTTAGAGGTACTTAGGCGGGTTGGGTACTTAAAAGAACCCGCTTAAGTACCTCGATGCGGGTACTTAAGCGAACATAATTACTGATGTAGTTACATCTTCTTGTTAACTTACATAAATACTTGAATAACAACATTTAATGAAGTATACATGAAGTATATTCACTGTAATGGAAAATACAACTTTTTTAATACAGGATTTTATTAGTAATAATAATATTTAATAATAATTAATTGGCGCTTATACAGTATAATAGAATTTGGCCTAGCTCCTCCTTCAATTTCCAGCGTGCGCCTTGATATTGTCATACAAACTTATAGTTTAAATATGAAACATATATTTCGACTCCTACGCCACCTATAGGGAATTTTTGTTTGTCCTTAAAAAACAAATCCTGACGTCAGGGGGAGGGGAAGGGCGGTGGGGAACGATCGCACAAATTGTCGGAGGTTATACCTGGCATATATGGTCCTAGTATAGGCTACTATAAAAAGTCGTACTTATTAACCGATTTCGTTCAAATTCGCTACCGTGAGCTACCTGTTAGATGAAAAATT